TCAACTAAAAAAATATACATATATACAATATACTATTCTTAGATAAGAAAAGAAAAAATTATATGTTATCAACTTTCGATGTATAAAATAAGAATGCCGCAATTCGTAAAACTTGCCATCTATTATTAATCCAAATATTATTCTCTCACGATAAACCAATGATCGATCGAAAACGGAATGAAAGCGGTATCGAGTTTACGTCGTTGATTAACGTGACGGACAGAGATCCAGTGCCGCTTCCGTAGAGCCGACGTAGCAACAGCGTCCACTAATTAACTCCGGAAGGCACTAATCTTATTTGTTGAGAAACGAATAACGGGTCGGCAGCGTTTCTAATCGATCTAATCGGAGCATGACTCGTCGTCGGCCGATTAATGACAGGAGAAGTTGCGGGACACAAGCGAACGGCAGGTCCAGAAGATGGCTAGAATCGCGGCGGGGAGAGGGTGAAGAGGAAAGAGTGGACGCAAGAAGCACGATGAGAGGGGAGGGGGAGAGGAGGGAGCAGAAGAAGAGACCGCTCCGTAGAACTGGTTCCGTTCCATGGATCACTGGAAACAATCATCCTTATTAAACTCACCGCTGGCCCACTCCGCGGATATAAAGGCATCCTTCGGAATGATTTACTGAGAAGCGCGTCGCGCGGCCCTTTGAACAGGTGGATCCCTCGAAACGCGTCGCAAACCGACGATAAATTTTATGGATTCACCGTGTAGATAGATTGAGAACACGCACGACGGGGGTGGCCGGGCGCGATTCCGCCGAGTCAGCTTTTGAAAGCGAATTCGGGATGAAATAGCGCCCGGTTGGTCGAGCAATTAAGAAATGAAGAATCATCAAAGAGTTTTGTTATGACTAGTTCGGACATTTTCTCAGCACTTAGCTTTACATAATTAAACTGAGATAATTCGACTTACGTGTGATATACTTTTATGATGAACAAATAATACCGAAAGAGAATCAAATAATGAAATAAATCTCACGTAAACATCGCACGAAATATTTCATTCATTATATCAATGTAAAAACCTGCTGGAATATAAACGCATCTTAACACACCGTATATATTATATTTACGAGGTTATTAATTAGCCACGTCATTCGTGAGAAAGAAACTATAACCGCAGCTGGACATTCGAAGCGATGACGGGATCTCGTCGGTTTAAACACGCTCCGCTCTCATTCTCTCCTCCTCCCCCTCTCTTTCTCTCTCTTCCTCTCTTTGTATCTCTCTCTTCTAGAGTTTATAACCGGGATAAAAAATTAAAATCGACAGGGACACCGAGACTGGTTAGCGGAACCGCTCGCGGTCGAATGATTAGTCCGGTCGGGCTCGACGCTGCCGTCGTCGGTAGCAGCGCGGACCCGAGTCGCAATATTCTAATCTAAATTAGATCTTAAGAGCCCGTGAAGGTAAGTGGCCACGCTCTCTCGCGAGCCTACGTGGCGAGCTGGCTTTAAGTGCCATATAAGCAGGACGAATCTGGTAATCCGCGCGCTCCCTCGCAAATGCCAATCGAGCCGCACTCGCGACTCGCAAAAAGACGCGCGCTTATCTGTTATCGCACTTGAAAATGGCATTCCATGCCGTCGCCGACAGTTTGTCCGTGGCTACTTCTTCGTCTCGGATCGATCACAGACGAAATTGGTTTGGAAGAGATTCTTTTCAAGAACAAACATAGCAAAAATTCAAGAAAAATATGGAAATTGGAAAAAATTAAGACATCTCGCGTATCTAAAAGCTTACAATAAAGAATTTTTTATCAGTGAAATGGAAGAAGCAACAAAAGATATAGATGAGTAAAAATTTGAAGAAAATAAAAATAAAAAAAGCAACAAAAGATAGATGAGTAAAAATTTGAAGAAAATAAAAATAAAAATTGCATTTACCATTTATACACTGAGAAAAATATCCGTGGAAAAGGTAACGAACGGATATTATACCGATCACTTTAATCGAAAAAAAAAAGAAACCGGTCAGATATCCAATCAGAAAATATCGATCGATCGGATATCTGATCAGAAAGTTCAAAATTCGGAACTTTCCGATCAGATATCCAATTAAAGTGATCGATATAATATCCGTTCGTTATCTTTTCATCGGACATTTTTCTCAGTGTAGGTGTAAGAATATTTATACGGGAATCTCGAAAACTAAGAGTTTAGAAAAAATTTGCCTGACATTGTGCAGTCAGGCTGATATCTACTGATTGAAAAATAAATAACGAAAAAAAATATATATGCAAAAGAGAAATATATTTATCGTCCAATTGGTACACAAGCCACCACTCGGGAACATGTGTCTTTTATTGGCAAATGAATTTTTATTCACGTTGTACGGCAAGTTAATCGTGCTAGAGCATCATCTTGGCTCGTCGATATATTGTATTTCGATAGGTCCGAATCGCACGCGTGCCCTTCGGGCGCCTAATGAATATGCATCATGCTCACGACGCGGTTTCTACTCTCTCCTTCTCTTTTTCTTCGTTCCTTTCTCGTTGGACTAGTCAATAAACCTAAGCGACCATAAAATCCAATTAGTGTGAAATTAATACCTTTGCACGGCAAAATCGCGGAAGAAGCGAAGATCAATTTATATTATGGAATGGCAGAATACATCGGATAATTTTCCACGAGTAGGAAACGCGTACCAATAGATGAGAAATAAATTAATAGATGCGACACGAATATTATTAGAAGCCAATTCGCTCAATTATTGGCCATTTTCTGTAGAAAAAAACGTTTATGGCGACAAATAAATAGGTGTCGACGTTATAAGAGAACATGCATATTCATGATAAAAATTAATATACCGGATGATTGATTATGAAAACAAGTTGTATACCGATAAATAAATTATATAGAAATAAATAGTATATTCACGAGACATGCAATATTAAATTACGGAGCTTGTATACATTTTAGTTGATCATTTTCTAATAAAACAGTAACACGATAATTCCATCACTCACATCAAATTTCTCTATGCCTTTTTCTTCAAAAATCAATATATTAGCAATTTCTCAATTAATCAAAAAGATTAACAAACAATTGTCCTTTTAAGCATCTTCATAGATCTTACGTATTTAAATTTTTTTTTCATTAAAAAGGAGAAACCATTCTGAAGAGATTGATTTCAATTTCGTTAGCTAAAGTATTTTAAGCTCGCTAGGACCTATCTTACGAGTCGCAATTTCATGTACACGCACATAAATGACGCGTCTCGCATTCGCGAATACATCTCCTCAGTCTTGACCGTATACCACGGACACTCTACCTGTTTCACCTCTCTCTGCATACTCCCCCCACCAGCTTCGTTAATTACGAGAACCCATACCGTGGCCGCAGGACCGGACCTATTACGAGCGATTACACCGCTATTAGTTACCTACCGGGTGTTCCACGGAGGAAGGTACCGAAAAAAGGACAAGAGAAAAGAAAAAGCTATCCAGATAGATTGCGCCGCGGCCCAATGGCGGCGCGATATACTGTACGTATGTAACTGGACCCGAGTGTGCAGGGGACTTAATGTAAAACTGCCGTTCCGCGTCTACGGATGGGAATTTGCATGAGGATCGTCAGTCCGGCTGCAAGAAGGCTCGATGATCGATGTATCGTTCCGCGAATTTACACTCGCAAATACGTTTGCAGACTTACATTGATGAACATGCGTGATTCATTTAAAATCTGCCACGGATTAAAATTAAAAAATTAAATGGACGCAATTATTACTCGAGATTATATTTAATAAAAATGCTTTAGACAGTTTACGTTGATTTTATATTTGTCTTTTTTTTCTAAGATGTACAATTGACGTAACAAAATATCCTTTTATGTTAGAGATTTCAAATTATTTATATTATATGATTAGTGCACAACAAATTACGTGTAATATATCATTACGGAAGCAGAAATGCATGAAAGTAAAATGAAATAATATGAAAGTAAAATAAGAGATTGACGAGAATATTCAATATTATTATAATTAACGTTAATGTTCTTTTCGTTTTTATTATTAATGTTTAATGATTTCTCTTCCAAGAAATCTTTTATTCTTAAAATAAAATTCTGCTAGAGATATAAAGTTTCGGTATTAAATTTTTATCGTACATAATTAAACCGATTACACATTAATTTTATTGATTATTGAGGAGTCGTTTTTTTTTCTTTTTTTGACGCCTCATTTTTCTTAGAGTTTAAGAATTCTAACAGGCATATCTTTTAAAAGACATACCGATGCACATGTTGTGTCTCCAACCGTCATTCGATCATCACTATTTCGAGACTGTTTCAGGTAGTATACACTTAGGATAACCAGATCTCTTTTATAACCATGCTCAAGGACTACCTGTGCACTCATCGTAAATGTTGCGCGGCAGAGACCATTTTTGAAAAAGAATTCAATAAGTAGCAAGAAAGAGAGAGAGGAAGGGAGGGTGGACAATATCGACGATAAGCCGGGAGAGTGCACAGGAGCCAGACAACCAAATATTTGGGTGGCAGCCGAGATAATAGACTCCTCACATTGTATCTAAATCCCATTACTCCACCGAGCACAAATTTTAAAGCCTGATAAATACAGCTAGACATTTGCCTATCGTCTAGACTCACGAAAGGTACATAAGCTTCCTATCCCGCGAGCGAGATATACTATAAGCTCTTAGCTGTCGAGATTTTTCTCGACAGGAAGGAAAAGCATGAGCCCTTATAAAGAGCTCTGTATCAATCAGTTTTCGCTCGACTATTATTAGGAATTGAAATTATTTATTTATTTTACGCTGCTCTCATTATGCTACACATTTTTTATTAATTTAGTACAGTTTATTTTCAACAACACGTTTTATGTCATATTTTTGTTTAAAGAAATTCTTTTCAAATATATATTATATTATACGATTATATAAATAAAATTCTGTCCGAGAACCATTCGGTATTTGAAAGAGAGAGAGAGGAAGAGAAATCAATATAAAAATTTCAAATTATTCAATTAGTCGACTTACCTCGTAAATACATCCGGGTAATGCGTCCTGGAGAAGGCCTTTTCGAGCTCTTCCAATTGAAAGCTGGTAAAGGTCGTTCTGTAACGGCGCTGCTTTCTCTTGGGCGCAAAATCGTCGGCCTCCGTCTCGCTTTCGGGGCTAGTCGGGGCCGCTCGCGGATGAGCGCCTTCTTCCTCGGGCCTCACCTCCTCCGTGGAGATGCCCATTTGGGTAGATTGGGGCGTCGTCGTCGTCGTTGACGTCGGCGCCGATTGCTGATGAGGCTGCTGGTGAGGTTGCTGGCTCACCTGAGTAACCTGGCTTGAGCTGCTCGTGCTGCTCGCAGGACTCGTCTGCGGGACGGCCTGCTCGCTGCCTCCTCGCAATGAATGATCTGCGAGAAAAATGATACTTATATATAAATGATAATAAAAATATAATTATTTTAATATAATTATTTTAATATAATTATTTTAATATAATTATTTTAATATAATTATTTTTTATGTATGATTACAGGTGTCACATGAAAGCTGCAACGATTAGCACTTGAAAATCGCAACGCATATGGACTTGAAATTGAAAACAACAGGACTTTTGGTGAGTCGAGATTTATTTGCGATAATGTAGTTTCATCTTAATAATTAGCAGTTTGTTAATCAAGCAACGCTAAATATGATTTTTATTTACATCTATCATAGTAATCATTGCGATATTTTATCGATTTTATAAAAAACAATTGTTGCATCTTGAATATAAGTTTATATATAAATTCGTAGAAGGATTATGTTATTTAAATGGATGGTTTATATATAACTTCACGTTTTTGCAACATATTAAAACAGATCATCATTTTTTATTTCGAGATTTAACTTCTAATATTTTTTGATAGAAAATAGCTCTTGTATATATTTAATAATAGCACTATTCAAAACTCTAAAAAAAATGTCTAATTTTCACAATTTTTTGATCGAAATTTTAAGTTCTGGAAACAAAATATTGCGACAATTTTTTTTAATTCGCGCCAATTTTTGCGACAATTGTTTTTATTTCGTGTTAAGTATCTCGAATATTTTTTAATATCGCGTACCGAGTATCGAATCTAGCGATAAACAATCGCCAATCTATTCTCTGGATTACGCGATCGCGTCTACCGCGGATATTCTCAATCGGCGTCTGTCACTTCGCGCGTTATGTTTGTGTGTTGTGAGACGTCAATCTCCAAACACGTGTTTCGCGCAGTATGATAAGTGTCACAAGTATTTTTCAATAACGCGTGTGAGAAATCGTGAGTGTCAGATCTTATGACAAACGATTATCTCGAATTATTCATTGGATTAACAGTCACGGTTATTTTTATCGGCTTTTGTCATTTGGCGTTAATTTTCACATTACGAAGACGCAAAATTGACACCTTATATTTCGGATCTCTACTTTTTACATTTTATTAAAATTTTTTCTAATAATTATATTAAAATTTTGAAAATAGGCTGTTAGGATTACTTTCACTGAAATTTGCCATTGGGCTTTTATTAAACCAATCGCAATTGAAACACAAATAGAATGTGAAACGATTTATCCAAGGATTTAGCAACTGTTACGTGATTCGGTGATCATACTGTATCAGCAATCGAATTCCATGATCGATCGAGAAAATTGGAGATCATTGGTTTAGTTTTAGTTACAAGCGAATTTAAATACTTATTTGAGGTACTGACCGTAGATCATTTCAAGATTTAGAATTTCGACATGTCAAATTTTTGCCTGTTTTTGTGAAAAGATTTACGAAGAGATTGCTGTAAAAATCAAACAAACCATTAAAATAACTGTTAGATTTTATAAAAAATTTTTTTTACATAATCATCCAGAAATTTATATAATGTAAAATTAAAAAAATTCTTTTATTAAAAAATATTAACAAATTTTTTAAATAAGCGTGTTTCTTGATATAAATTTTTTTATTGACAATGAAAAGAGAATAATACAAACTAAAATGAGTATATCATTTTGAAAAATAGAATTCTGTCATCAATAGCAATATTAGATTGAAATATATATTTAATTAATATATTTGAAATAAAATAATAATAATAAATATATGTATATAATGACTTGTGCTATCTCGAACACATCTTTGCACATTCGCAAAAACTTCATGACGAATACATGCAGGTTATCTTTCGAGAAAAGTGTAAGATATGTAATAGGCATGCTCAGATATAAATTGAACAAAACGATACAATCTCCTCTCATGCTCATTAATTTTCTTGCGCGATTCTCTTTAATTCGCGTGCCCTCTCGCTATATTTTGCGAACCTGCCGCGGATAATCTCCGTATTGCATCGTTATTCAATTCGAAAAAATAAATCTCGCGAGTAAACTAGAGCGTTTCCGCGTAATTTGTGGCACAGAAATATAAAAAATCGAGCAATTTACTCGGCATCGATGTTCTAATTCGCCGCAATCGTACTCATACATATAGTAATGTAAGCAAATAAGATGAAAACACTGCATTTGATACTTAAGTGCATTTTTTCTGAAAAACTTCTCCCTCTCAAATAGGAAGAATACAAATCTATTAATAGAAAATATTTTATTTAACGAATCTTATATCATCACATTTGAAATTTTTTAAATGAAATTTTTAATAAAAATTTTACTGATTTAACTGAACAAAATATTTTATAATACGAAATAATATATCGAAAATGTAAGAGATTCTAATAAGAAAATAAATTTTAAGTTAATTTTAATAATAATTTGATGATATACGAGTCTCTAAAATATATAATTTGATTTATTACTATACGCATATGTATGTGCGGTAGAGATGTCATTCCTTTCACTGCGACCTTGCCTCGTAGAGGAATTAATTCCTACGAGTTCACATCTTGGCATAATCGCGATGCCAGCTTCGTGGTAATCATGTAATAACATTCAATATTACTTGTTCAATATTACTTGTTCAATATTACTTGTACTCGAAAGTTGCAGTAAAATCGTCCATAATAGATATATATTCGAAACTAAAAATGATTGTTGTTGATACATAAATAACATAAGGTAAATTTTTAAAAATTTCAAATTTTTAATTTTTCAATTTTTAAGCTGTACATAAATATTTACAATAATTCTTTTTTTAATTATGATATATTCTTTTGCAAAACAGAAAACTAATAATGATATGAATAGATTACATATGAAGCGCATATATAATATAATGTATTCATAACACTTTGATAGTTATAAACTCAAGCAGTGTTAAAATTTCTCTCTATTATTATGCATACAGTATTTGACTCAATCTTATTATGTTAGCATTGAAATTATTTTTTCCTTATCTGCATCCATATATACATACGTGTGCTTGATTCAATTTAGCTCAATTGAGATTTTCCACAAAGCCTAATTCGCAACGATTACAAATATCCTTGTCACGTTCCGCTATCAGTAAAATGCAACTCTTACAACGTACAATCGTATGCGAGGTCTTTAAAGAAACTGGCGATCGATCGAACAAACTTCTAGGAGCGAGAGATTCGTTGGAAAGCCGAGGTTAAATAGGCGTGAGATGAGGAGATTCTCGACAAGATTTTACGCAATTCTTAAGCGGCCGTTTTTAATCGAATTAATTTATCGGAAATGAGCTTATAATGCAGGTAGCTCTGATATAATGTTGATAATACACAGATCTAAATCTGGCTGGATTTTTCTCTTTGTTCACGCATGTGCAACTATGTGTGCAACTACGAGTTCATCGACGCGTTTGAGAAACGAGACAGAAAGAGAGAAGTAAAGTTGAAAAGAGAAAAGGAGACGAGAGAAGAAAAAGAGAGAGAACAGAACGTGTAGGTAGCCTTTTACATTATAATAGCATTAATGGGGCTCGAGGCCGCACTTAAGCGTTCACTCGCCGGTCAGTTCGTCGTTATTATTAACTGAAAATTACCGAAACCGAAATCTAATTCGCGTAAACACTATAATTTCACCGCATGCCGTGGAATCGGGAGTAGCTCTAAGCATTCGCTCTCTCATATTCTCCCCTTGCGATAACGCATTAAATTCTTTGGCTTAATCGCGAGCGGACAAATATACCCTCTTGAGATAACGCATCTATTCGCCATAAGCAGATTATATCGATTTTGGAGCCTAAGCACTGTTCATTCCGCATCAATTTCGTAACCAGTTTCGGTTTGCACGCAAAGATAACAAAATTAATACAAAAATCAGATTAAAACTGTTGTTATCAATTTAGTTATATTCTTAAGAGGGATTCTTACGAGAGAATTTCTCGCGTGTTCACAAATAATTGCTAGGAAATAATTCATTCCGTTATTATTCTATTACACGGTAGAGTAATTCTGATTATAACTCTAAATGACAATATGTAAATGAAAATCTTGGAAAACGCAAATCTTTAATTAAAACGAATTCATAAATGTCAAGCGACAAATTGCTTTCAACATAATTTTATAAAATCGACTATATCGCAACTATGTGCTTCGCGTTATCTCGTCGATGTTATTCCCAACGCGGGTTAGCGATAGCTGGTTTATGCGTAGTAAGTGTATGTCGTAATAAACATTGACGGAAACGTGTTTTAGTGCGATTCCATCGTGAAACGGGTAGCATAAACCTGCATCGCATCGACGTCCTTAATTTACCATGAGTTCGATCTCGCGAGGACCCATTTATTTCTCCCCATCGGCTGTTGCTCACACACGCCTTGACAATATCATGAATGTTCAATTAGATACGTCATGCTCGATTAGAAACGATTGCAGGCCTGTAGCTGATGATTAATCTCGGGAACGCCGAGAGATATCGCTTTATTAATGCAACTAATAAAATTATACGGAGTACTATTAATTTTTATGTGCATTCATTACATTTTTTTCTGAATTTATTATTACGCTCAAGTGCAATATGTATGCGATATTTCAATACCAAATTTTGAGGAAACGCGATCTTATTTTAACTCAACTTCAATTTTCGATTCTACTTTGACAGAATTTTTCTTGTTAATTTTCAAGATTGTAGTTATAAAAATCTATTAGCAAATAGCTTCGCTTCTTAGGTACGTGTCAATGACGCGGTGCGAACGCAGCACTGCCATGTCCGTGAAACGGAACTTGAAAAACCGCATCGTTTTTGTTACATTTACGCCGTTAGCGGCCGATTGTACGTGTACGTTCGTACGTGTGCGTGTGCGCGATTTATGGCCGTGCAAATTAGCGCGTCGCAATCAACCAATTAGCTAAGTCATTGTGACCGCTTACGCGAACGCGACATACGCAGTACGCACTGTGGACAACAACGACGGCTGTTAATTAGCCGCTAATCCATACCGCGAAAGGCAATTAAGCTTCCCCGATCTTTTCCGTTCGCGAGATTTCTTGTGATTCGCACGGATATTATAAAATATTATCGCTATATTCTTTTTTCCTTTTTTTATTCTCACACTCGTGTCACTGAAATCACATCTAATCGTTTGTTTTGTAAGCTCAATTGCGTAGTTTTTGAACTTTTTACATGGATGATAATATAAAACGTTCGTTTTACATTTCTGACAAAAAAAGGAGGAAATTATCCTTTATCAC